TTAGATATAGGATTTTTGATTTTTGTTGTTTTATTTGGTGTTTTTAATTGTTTTTAGTTTCGTTTGGTAGTCTCCCTATTAGTCATCGGGGCGGTCTGTGCGTTCTCGAAGATTTTCGCATTTCAAACACGTCGCAAGAATACCGACAATACCCCCTCTAGCACCTCAACGAGAGGGCTGCACACATTAGAGGTGGCGTAAATCGGTTTCTCGCGACGTGTTACCCCTATATCTGATAGAAAATTGACGAGTTTTGATGAAAGATTTCTGCTTAAAAGTTGGTGTGTGTGCGGACCACGGTGGTAGATAGGATAGCTAGACGCATATACGCGGCTCCCCCAAGGCGTGTAGCCGATAAGACAGTCTGGCGCCTTTAAAGCTGGCGTCCTCCTCGAATGCAATGCCTCCTTCCACTGCATGAAACCAGCCGCCATGGGTCTTTCAGAGTACTGGCAACACAAGGCCGACTGGTGAGCGGCTCCAGCTACCCCCCAATATCCGAATCCAGCCTGAGCTAAGCGTCCACCAGCAACCGCAAGCAGTCGGAGCGCGCCTCCAAGATTGCCACGCTGCCCGCCGCGTATCAGTCGCCTCTGTCTGCTCAAGAACGCTCCATCCTCGGCAAGCCCATCCAGGAGCTGGTGCAGGATGTCCGCAAGCAAATCACCAGCCCTGTCGACATTCTGCGCGCATACGGCAAGGTCGCCGTCAAGGCACAGGAAAAAACAAACTGCCTCACCGAGATTCTGTTCCCCGAGGCCGAGGAATGGGCGGAGAAGGAGGTGAACCTCAAAGGCCCGCTGGCGGGTATTCCGGTTTCGCTCAAAGACTCGATCCACGTCAAGGGCTTCGACAACTCCGTCGGCTACTCCAGGAACACGGGCAAGCCAGTGACGGAAGATGGAGTCATGGTCAAGATACTCAAGGACGCGGGTGCGGTGCCCTTTGCCAAGACCAACCTCCCCACCACGCTGCTCTCGTTTGAATCGACAAACGACGTCTGGGGCCAGACCAAGAACCCCCACAACGACAAGTACTCGCCAGGCGGCTCAACTGGCGGCGAGTCTGCGCTGTTGGCCTTTGGCGGCAGCCGCATCGGCATCGGATCCGACGTTGCGGGCTCTGTCCGCGCCCCCGCCCACTTCTCTGGATGCTACTCGATACGCTGCTCTACCGGCCGCTGGCCCAAGGTAGGCGTGAGCACGAGCATGGCCGGCCAAGAAGGCATTCCCAGCGTCTTCAGCCCCATGGCCCGCACGCTGAACGACTTGACCTATTTCACGCGCAGCTTCATCCAGATGAAGCCCTGGAACTACGACTACACGGTCCACCCAATCGAATGGAGAGAAGACGTCGAGACCGAGTTCCGCGACAAGAAGAAGCTCCGCATTGGTGTAATGCGAACAGACGGCGTTGTAGACCCATCACCGGCATGTGCGCGTGCTCTCGACCAGACTGCCCAGGCGCTTGCTGCCGAAGGCCACGACGTCTTTGACGTTGAGCCGCCATCTCCCTACGAAGCTCTGCAGATAGCATCTCAACTCTTGCTCAGTGACGGCGGCAACATTTTCATGAGCCATTTCCGCACCGGAGAGTGGAACGACCTTGGTGCCGCGCAAATGGTCAAGTACATGCGTCTGCCTCGCTTCATCAAGTACATGCACTACCTCTACATCAAGTACATCAAGGGCGATCCAATCTGGGCGGGCTTGCTGCAAGAATGGAACCCAAAGTCTGCACACGAGTACTGGCAGCTCGCCGGCAAGCGTGAGGCATTCAAAGCGAAATTCTTCAAATGGTGGGCCGAAGAAGCCAAAATGGATGTCATGATTACCCCTCCAAACGCGACACCGGCCGTGCCCCATGGCGGTATGCATGATGCAGTCAGTAGCTGTGGCTACACCTTCTTGTTCAACTTGGTGAGTTACATCCTTCCCCCAAACACTCATTTCACGCTGACCATGACCAAGCTCGATTACTCGGCCGGTATCATACCCGTAACCCACGTTGATCCCGCCAAGGACGCTCTACCCGCTACATTCGACATGAAGAAACTCAACGGTGTTGCCAAGGGCGCATACAAGCACTACGATGCTGAAAAAATGGCTGGTCTGCCCGTAGCCATCCAAGTCGTTGGAAAGCGGCTGGAAGAGGAAAAGGTGCTGGCTGTCATGGAGAGAGTGGAAGATGCTCTTGACAAGCATGGTGGGCGGTACGAGCTCTTGGAGGTGGATTGAGAAGTCGACTTGAGGCATATAAAAAACATACTAGACCCATAATTTCTCTGCTGTCGTTATTAGCGTGTAATTTAGCGGAATGAAAAAGCCATGCATCGATGGACATATGCTGTTCATGGGCTCATTCAATATCTGTAGGATCAAGGGAGAAGCTGGCGAACCAACAGGATTCTCTACGTGCGGATTCTGTTTACTATACAATACACAGCATGATTAGTATTCAACACGACCTGTACTTATACATAAGAAGGTCCCAGGCCAACATCACCTCACCCAGCTCCCGAGTCCAACAACCTCCCTCTACCAACCCCCGTCTTACCCAATCCATCCCTTAACGCCCAGCACAATAGCTCGAATGCCAATGCCCCCCCCCCCCCCTTCTCTCCCAGCCTCCCAGCCCGGCACCACCGCAGATCCCCCGCCTTTCCAAGCCCACACACCCGCCAACTCGCCAGCGCACACCCACCCAAGACCAGGGGTTATCCAAGTACAGTACGCCCAGCTTACTTAGTAACATAGCTACCATGTCCAACATGTAACGTATGTGGCAAGCGAGCGCCGCAGGCAAGCGAGCGCCGCACCCCACCAAACCTGCGCACCTCTATAAGCCTGTAGTTCCACCACAATATAGTTGTTTTACTACATATTAACATAATAGATTAAGCAGTACCTAGAGTATCTTTC